TCCATCCATCCATCCATCCATCCATCCATCCATCCATCCATCCATCCATCCATCAATCAACCAGTTAACTAATTCACCAGTCAAACATTCAATGGATTACCCATTCAATCAATAATTCAACCAACCAAATGGGTGGTTGGCGGGTGTTCTAGTGTGGCTTGCTCCTTCTTTCCTATCAACCATCTATTGTCCTTATCTCTCCTCCATTTTTGTGTTATTACTCTCTCGTAGCAACTCGATTCTTCCGCACTTATATGACCTTATTGTGTTGCAAGTGCCGTAAAACTCTTACTAAAATTAAACAATCTATCAATAAATCATACACTCAATATTATTGTGCCCTTACAAAGCAAACAGTCCTTTCATCTACTCATGTATCAAACCAAGCACCAATATAATATCCTATCTATCAATACAACATTTTATTTTCTTCCACCCGTCAGTCACTGAACAGACAGTTTGAGCTTTTTCTCTCTCACAGTCAGTATATGAGTAAATCTCTCTCGAAGCTAGCATTCTTGTCTGTAATCTACTCTATCTACCATCTGGTCGCAACTGAAAATCACTCTGAAATTGGTTAAATCACCACAAAAGCAAGATAAGGTTCTGTACTTTCAGTCAAGTTCTTGTGTGACGACGTGGGTATACATTGTATATGGGCGTGAAGATCTATATGGATATGCCTGAATGTGTAACTGGCTTCTCCACCACAACAGTATGCAAGCTATAATTATTTCTTTCCATTATAAAACCTGCAAAGCGTAAGCTCACATTCATCCACGTGTAAAAAGAAAACAATTTTGAAAATGCTTATAATCTAAAAATAGTATACAACCATTATGTGTGTTCGAGGAAAAATCTTTTCATATCTCAAGTAATAAATAATTCCTCGCCCCCAAGGATAAAAAACAGAAACAAAAACAAAACAAAAAACACAACAAATAGGACTTTGCTTTTGTTAAAGAATAAACGCACAACGAAAATAGACCTGCTAAGTGGGCTTTTTTTCAAGCTTAGTACACACTGCTCAAAAGCAAAACTTGAGCTCTGCAAGACTATCACGAATCAGTTCTATTCAAGTACATGTCTTCCAAATAGTCTACTGGTTCTATCTCAAAACTCTTCCCACGTCCTTGTCAAATAGATTTGAAACATAGATCTATATCCGACCGCCCCACAGCCTTTGACAGATGTTGACTTACCACGTGGGGTTATGTCATCTCTTCACGGGGCTGGTGACATGTCACATGGATGAAAGCTCGTAAAGACCATAAACCTCAGCTCCTAATGGTTCAGGCGTTGATGACAATCTAATTGCCTGGTGTAGATGTAACGGATAGTTAATGTCTGCAATGTCTGCATAGATTGACCGTAAGTAGCGTGCGGGTCTTAGCATGTAAGTCGGGGTAACGCAACTGGTAAAAAGTACGCATGCCACGGCGAGACACATTTAAAGTGCTGACAAAGCAGGGCGATATTTTAGTCATGGCCATTATCTAAATATTATATATTTTGACTTGAATTCCGTCTGCAGGCGAAATTTGCTTAATTAAGCTTGGTTTAATTCGTTTATACTTTGCTGGCTTATTTAAAATTCAGTAATAGTTTGACCCCTGACCTTTCCCTGAATTTGTTGCTGCTTTTCCCTATTGAAAACGCATTCATTGTGTAAGCTCAGGCCCATAAAATTGCATCAGGAAACTGGTTTCTGCTCAGAAAACGTAACCTAACAGATCGGTATCTTACATGGGACATAACGAAACTAAAAATAAATATTTCTGCGTAACCGGCTAAGGCAAACGTAAGAAGCAACTCTACACCCATGATGTCTGTTCTCTCTCTCTCTCTCTCTCTCTCTCTCTCTCTCTCTCTCTCTCTCTCTCTCTCTCTCTCTCTCTCTCTCTCTCTCTCCATCTCTTTCCCTCTCTGACTTTCACCTCTCCCTCCCCTCTATCTCTTCACTCCCTCTCCTCCCCTCCACTCTAACTGCTCTTGCCTCTGTTGTCGTCTTCTTTCCTGTACTTAGTTTTTTTTCAAATCTACTCAAAATATTTCAATTTTGTATATCTTTTCTATTTTATCTTTAGACAGTGAACTGTACTCATCTTTATTTTACCCTATTCTTTATGCTTTTCGAGAACGACCACCCCTAATAACTTAACTGTTTTGTTTATTTTTAGTTGCCTACCTTTCGTTAACTTAATCAATTAACGATGCACCCTTTGAAGTAAATTATAGGGACATTTCCCAGACCGTATAGGACAGTGTAAAAAAAAAGCAATAGATTTTTGTCTAAAAAAAAAGAAAAATAACACATGTTCCAGAATGCGTTTTCGTTTTTTTTTTTATAGAGGACCCCCCCCCCCCCCCCCCCCCAAAAAAAAAACAACAAACAAACAAACAAAAAAACAACAACAACCCAACAACAAACAAACAACAACAACAAACAAACAAAAAAAACCAAAACCCCCAACAAAAAACAACAAACGAACAAAAAACAAACGAAAATAAAGAATCAAATTAAATAACAAAAAACAACAAATTAAAACTTGAAAATTTAAAAATTTAAAAACAGTTAAATTTAAAAATATGAAAAATTTGATCTGCAGCAATAATATTTAGCTACGTGAAAAAGTGTGACAACAGCATTGTGTCGCTTTGCTTGCATTTGTGCTAGATAGGTCTACCCCATTACCAGATGACAGGAGATTCTGATCACTGGGGGGCAAACATACCAGGTTCGTCTGTCTGTCAATCCGTCCAACCCCTAACCCCCACCCCCTCCCCCGAAAAAAAGGGGAAAAAAGAAATGAAAACTGAACATTCTCGAGCATTCGTGTTTGGAAACAATCTCCACGGGTACTTTCATTTTTGGACACAACTGAAATAGTGCTAAAGTTATGTGGAACGAGATAGGATATTATTTTTATAGTAGAAGGTCTTACGGCGCTCGCAACTGCATAAGGTCATATGAGCGCCATGTGATAGGATAGGCGATAATAATTGTAACTGGACGACAATAAATGTAACACCAAAAAAGCACACATTTTCCGAGATTCCTAGTCCATCTCTTTCTATCCTCACCCCCTCTCCCTCCCAACTCTCATTTTTTTCTACAACGTCTTGTTGTTTTTATCACCTCAACTCCAGGCTCGAGCACAACCTTTTAGATAATACATTTTGTAAGGGATTGCAACACAAAAGTAGACAAGCATTTCTGTATCTTTCCGCAGAGTATATGTGCTAACTATTGTTGGGGTGTGTTGGGCTTCTGAGATTATGCCCCAACTCTTTACAAAGTCTGTTTGCCTCAATAACGAAAAACGCTGTTATTGCCTTCATCGTAAGCGTTAAGAAGCGCTATATATAAAGAGAGAGAGAGAGAGAGAGAGAGAGAGAGAGAGAGAGAGAGAGAGAGAGAGAGAGAGATAGGGGATCAAGGCCTAAAGGGAAAATAACAGAAAACAGGGTAGGAAAGACGCGAATTGTGAAATAGTACAACTGACAAAACATACATGAGAGTACCATATGTTG